TACCTTTAGTTCTGTCAGTTTCTTTTATATATTTCATATTGTAATTATTATTCATATAGATTTACAATTGTAAAATCTTGTGGATAAATTAACCTTTTATTACTATGAAGGGTTCTTTAACCTTATAAATACTTCTTCATTTCAAGTTTCGTATGTTTTATATTGGGATACAAATAATAGCTTTGTTTTTGTTAGTGTTTGCATGGTGTAACTTTTTCCATGGTATAAATTTATACCTTTCTGTATCATTACATTTAAAGTGATGTGTTTTTAAAAGCTTTTATCTTTTTAGCAAGCACAAGGACCTGAGTTCGATCCCTGGTACCAAAAACAAAAACAAAACAAAACAAACAACAAAAAAAACCCAAAAGCTTTTATCTTTTAATGCAAGTTTTAGTCCATTTACATTTAATGAAATTATTCATGTTTCTATTCTCCATCTTACTGTTTTTTAGTTTCTCACCTTTCCATATCTATTAATTTTCTATTACTTATTTTCTTTGAATAAACAAAGTGTTATATAAATTCCATTTTTACATTATCTAGTTATGTGTTGTTTTAGTAGTTAGTGTAAAGATAAAAATATGCTTAACTGATTACAGTCTAATTAATGTTAGGGTTATTACCACTTAAACTCACAATGCAGTGTTCTGGAACCATTTATCTAAGCGCTCATGCCTTGTGTTTAGCATTTTAGTTTTATTTTTCTTGAACTCCACATTACAGACACTATTATTTTCTACAGTCAATATTAATTTACATTTTCTCACATATTTTGATCTTTAATGCTATTTATGTCTTCCTGCATCTGTGTTTTCATTTGGAATAATCCTTTCTTCCTCAAGAACTTCTTTTAGTATTTTGTAGTATTTCTTTTATTGTTGCCAACAAAGTCATTCGGAAAATGTTTTCATTCTCCATTGACATTTGAAGGATGTTTTAGTTTTGAATGGAATTCTGGGTATTTGCAGTGTGATAGAAATACCGGTTCACATTCTGACGGCTGGTGTTCATTTTGAGAGTTAAGTTGTTAGCTTTAATGTTGCTCATTGATATCACTGTGCCTTGATTATTTGGTTTTTCAATTCCATATTTCTCTTATTTGTCATTTCAACAATCTTACTGTGATATTATGATTTTCTTTTATGTTTTCCTTGTTTAAAATTTTGGAACTTCTTTAACCCATCCTTTCAGTTAAAGGAAATTCTTGACCTCTTTCATTGCAATTGTCACTCTACCCTCCTTGTAGGAGTCCATTTGTACATTTTTTAGAGCTCTATATTTTGCTTTCTACCTCTATTACTCAGTTTTATATTTTTTGTAATGACTTTGCATGTTTTCGATTAGTTTCTTCTGCTCCATCTTCCAGATTGCTAGTCTTGTATTTGCTCTTTGTCTAACCTGCTATTAAATACTGTATATGAAATTTTAATATCAATTTCTGCACAGTTTTTCTAATGTTTCTTTTATGTTGGACCAAATCCCCAATTTATGAAAGTTCACATTTTTGTTATGTATTTTTGAATATATTCATCTACATTTGATATTTACATTTACTTGTATATGCAGTTCTATTTTTCTAGTTATTGTGTTTTCTTTCATGCCAGACCAGACAGCTTGGTCAAAAACCAAGCATGGTAAATGACAATTTGTAGAATCTGTGGTTGACATCCGATCCTCTACAGCAGGTCCATGTTATCATTTGATGCATTGGGAAGGTAGATATAGTGAGGACTAATCACCTTCCTTCTACTCTGAGGCTGTTCACTCAAAGCTGGATTGCTTATCCACCTCTGGTTTGCCCCAGTTGAGAGAAGTTCTAGCTGTGTGTGGGGTGTTTGATAAAGCTAAGAAAAATCATCTTTAGCCACTCTGCAGTACAGTTTCTGTATTGCCTTCACCATCAAAGGCAGAAAACTCCCCTCAGCTTTACAGAAGTTTTGTTTAGACCCTTGGCTTGTAACTTACTGAGAATTAAGTTCATTTCTCTGCGCTTTCTTCTGTTCCACATTGTTGCATCCTGTGTTCCAAGACATTCTCTCTATTTCTAGAAGATTGTCACAGTTTCTCTTACTGGTTCTTCTGAACTGTTGTCCTTTCAAGATTCTTGATCTTCCTTCTTTTCCTGAGGTAGCAAGTATGGTAGGGGAAAGTGACTTCTAGACTCTCATCTCACTTCTTTCCTCTGTGCCTTTTCCTTTGAGTTTTTGACACCTCTAAGTCTGGTTTGCTTTAGTAAATCTCTCATGCTTTAATCAGATTTCTAAAATGTTATTCTTTAAAAGCTATTCCATCACTGTCAAAAGTGTAGATGTAAAGAAGTCATTTACTTAGTCATGTCTATGTGCCAGGTAGGTACTAAATGGTGGTAATACAATGGTTAATTTCTTCTTACACATCACATTATATCTTCTTTCAAGGATCTAGATTCTACCGACTGACACGAAAACCGAACACATAGGAGGGTAGGTAATTGCTTATGTTAGAGTCTTACAGATTAAACTGTAGGAGCTCACAGAATGAACTCACTACTTGAGCGACAAGAGGAAGTATGGAAGGAAAGTCAGAAAGTTTTTTTTTTCTTTTACTTTTTGAGATACAATCTTGCTGTGTAGTTCAGCTCACTTTGAACTCACTGTGTAACCCAGGCTGGCCTTGAAATCACAGCAGTCATCCTGACTTGGTCTTCTGAGTGCTGAGATTACAGATTTGCACTACCATGCCAAGTTTAGGAGGTATAACTCTTGGAAGGAATTTCAAAGATTGAGATTTAGTCAGTCTTAAGATTTCATCTACTTGGCATAAAACAAATTCCGCATATGTCAAATTAATATTGAAAAGGCATTGCCCATTGCTCGTTAAATCACTAATGGAGTTGAAATGTTAAAAATGTGTTTCAGTTTGTAAAATTTAATTTAAAAATTTTAATTATGGCAACTTATTTTCCCATAGGTGTTTAAAAGAATGAATATCCCACAGATCAGAAATCCTTCTATGCCTCCCAAAGAAAAAATGCCTGAAGCCTATTCTGCAAAAATTGCTCTCTTTGGTGCTGGGCCTGCCAGTATAAGTTGTGCTTCTTTTTTGGCTCGATTAGGCTACTCTGACATCACTATATTTGAAAAACAAGAATATGTTGGTGGCTTAAGGTAATGCCTACACATACTTTGTGTTTGTAGTGTCAATAATGATGAGGCGAAACAATTACAAATATTGTTGTGTTAGAATCATAAACTTCAGACTCACAGATGGTATTTTAAATGTTCTTTTCCGAAATGTTCAAATTTTGATTACATTACTCACTTTAAATTTTGCAGTTGACTTTAAGCAATATTTAGTTAAGAATTTATCTGTCTAGTTCTGTGAATTTAAGACAAATTTCAGCAAAAGAATTTTTGGTTAGTAGGAACAAATCATATGAAAAAATTGTTTCATCCTTTTGGATATTTCCTTTATGGAGATGTGTCTGAATAATCATGGGTATTTGAGATGAAAAAACCCTAACTTCTTAGAATATCAGTCATTTCATTTGTTGACTAGTCACATGTTATCCTGCTCATATATTTTTAGTTTGCAATCTCTGTAGTCTGCATTTGATTGCAATTTTTGTCACAATCCACTGGAAATGTTTTCTTTAAATGTACATTTTGTAATGTTTCCCCAATTAGTATATTTTCAATATTTGCTATTAATCAGTGTTATTGCTGTAAATCAGCATTCAGTTGAATACTCATTTTTATTCCCATGTGATTTCATACCTAGAAAGGGAAACTGGTCATTTTGTGTCAGTGACTTTCAGATGTTTAAACAAAGCATAATTGTAATTTACTTTATGTAAAATAAATGGAATTCTATATTGGACATGTATTACATTTATGATCAAAAACATACAATGTAGTATAAGTAAGCAGTGTATATTGCTTAAAATATTTACTGTTAAAATGAGAAAGAAATTTGGTGGTAAGCTAGTATTTACCAATTTTAATTGATTTTCCCTAACTGCCTTAACTTATATTGAAATATTATGGATTTTAAATTATAACCATTTGGAATAACTTTTTATACCTAGTATTTAAACCTTTTGTAGATGCTAAAGTATTTGTTAAACAGCAGATTTGTCATATGTTCATAGAACATAATTTTAATCATATTATGACTAAAGTTTGTTGTTTCTCATCTTTACTAATATTTGTAAATATATGGTAGTGAATGTATAAATCTCAGTATTTTCAAGTGGCACTATGCTAAACCCAAAATAATATAAAATGATCAATTTGTTACAATGATATAAATATTTTGGTATACTTATGATATATATCAATATATTAGCTATTAATTAATGTGAAAGTATTTGACTGAATCACCATGCAGAAATATCACATACTGGAAATGTATTTTATAAAGGATATGAAGCATAAATGACCTCATTGTCATAAAATAATTATTTTTCAGAGTTGAGGCTCCATCACTTTTGACTTTAAGGGACTACACATATTTTATGAATTATTTTTCCTAGGAAATAAAATAGTTTAGATATTATTTCCTAAGAAGGATTTAGGATATTTTAATGGCATGTTATCACAGTTTTTTTAATTAGGAAAAATGTAATCTATTAACAACATATGTATAACCATTGTAGGGGTTTTTCAGTTATACACATCAGTGACTATGTGAGCTAATTTGAAAAATATGAACTTAATTGTTGTGTACCTTGGTAGACTAGTAAAAATCTTTTTGCTCCTTAATTGCATTTTCACAAGAAGCCTAAAATGGAACCAGCCCTGTTTGTGAATTATTATGCATTACCAATATTAGCAGATGATTATGGTTATTAGAATCTCTGTATTTCTTTTTAATTCACATGCAGGTTAGACATTTTTAAATTATAAAAATTGGCACTAAATTTAGACTTTTACATATTTGTTGAACAGTTTTAGTGGAATACACTGTGCTGGTTTTCTGAGAAAATATTTTATGGTGCTTATTTTAAAATTTTATTTTCTTTCTTTTACCTTTGAACTTTTTCAGTATCTAACAACAATATGGAATGTTTAATCAGTCTTGTTTGTCCTGTCAGCTGGTAATGGCATTTTATGCTACTGTTACAGGATTATAAAAACTAAAATGAATTTAGCCAAAATTACAACAAAACATTTGTCTATTTTCTCACTTACTTACAGATATCTCTCATTCTCTAGTATTTTCACAGTGGCTAAAAAAGATTACATTAGTTTTGTATCTGAAAACAATTGCTTAAAGAAATGATGGCAAGTTTTATCTATCCTTCTGCTTTGAATCCAAATAGCTTTTTAAAAAAATCTCTGGTGTATTAGTATCCAAAGAAAAGATTGATAGAGTCAGTAAAAGATGTCCAGGATTTAATTTCTATTGTATTGAGCACAATCAATTGATATTTTTGTTTCCACAGCAAATTCATAAAATAATCAATAGTATTGCTTTTCCTCAAATATGTCTTCCATTTTAAACATACAGTTAAAAAGATTACAAAACTTCGTAGGATGATATTGAACATAAATGGTGTTGAGATTGCAAAGTATTCAAGTACATATTTTCTGAGGATTTATTTAAATTAATTTATGAATTTATGAATTATGATATTTTGTTAAATAGAATAGTTAGTAACATACTTTAACTTGATAAAACATTACAGTATTTTTATCATATCAATTGTATTTCATATAGATTGTCAATAAAGAAAAATGCGGTCTAGCTGAAGCAGTTATAGCCATTGGAAATATTTTGATAATGTATGATCATAAATTCATAATGCAGATTTAAAACTGAAGAAAAGCTCTGCCAAAGCATGAGAACTGCACTGTAAAAGAATGGAAAGAGGGCCAGGGATTTAGCTCAGTGTTTCTGCCACCTGCCTCGCAAGCACAAGGACCCGAGTTTAAAAATAAAAAAGAATGGAAAGAAGTTGTTAAAAGTGATTTCTATCACATATAAGAAACATAAGCAAAGAAAAATCATTTTTCCCTGTTATCTGACATCCCACTAACTGTACAGGAGGATTTATGGTTGCTGAAAGAATATTTGTCTTTCAAAACCTTAGATTGTTAAAAGAATACAGATAGAAGAAGGAAAAATGTTTCCATAGGTAGCACAATGGTAAATAATCATTTGTATCAAATTCTATGTTCTGTATTTTTATCTTCTTTTCATGTAGTATTCAGGGACACTCCCAATTACACTCTTGTTTTCAAGTGCTATGCACATATAAATTATTTGAACATATATATCCGCCCTGAATTCTCTCGCTGTCCTGAGCAACAGATTCATGCATTCACACCCTGAATATCTCCTCTTTAGAAGCTTTGCCCATCAGTTTTCTTCCTCTTTTTGAACTTGCCATCTCCAGGAATAGCCATCATCAACAAATATGGGAATTACCTGGATTACTCTTAGATATCCTGACATTTGTATTTCATGAATACATTTTAAAGTGTCTTCTCACTCTGCCATTTATGATGTCATTTACCACTCACATCCTGTACCATGATTCTCTTGGGTTCTTTTCTCAATTTGTCTTTTCAAACACATTTAGTTTCAAAATCTTATTATATTTCTTTTCTCCTTGTTATAAAAAGTTTTGCTTGACCTGATATTCATTTACCTTTTATGATTCATTTACCTTTTATGGTTTCTTCTTTCCTTCTTTCCATTATTATTTATTAAACACTTACTTTATGCTGGTAATTCTGGCACTAGAACTACAGGAAAGAACGAGACAAAGTGGTTATTCAAATAGGGCTTATCTTTTAGTGATGAAAAGACAGATAATAAATAATAAAACAAATATGGACTATGTCAGATGATAAATAAAGTGTTTTTAGAAATGTTAGTTTTGATGAGGAATAGAGCAATATAGTGGTATAGGGCTCTCTAATGATTAACAATTTAAACAGTTATTCACATAACAAAGTATTTTCACTTGTGTACAGAAAACTACATGAGAGATCACAGTACCTGGTCATTGTATATTAGAAGCAAAGGTACACTGAAGAAGGTAGGATGTATAGTTTTATGTCTCTGCATCACTTTTCCCCCAATCTTAGGCAGCATTGCTTGGATAAAGTCATTATACACCTAGGAGTAAGAAAGGAAAGTAAATGGAAGTCATTTCCTTGAAACTCACTTACCACTATTGTCTTAATAAAATCCAGCATGGGGCAGATACTGAGGACTACTAAGTTCAAGCTGACATCCACTGACTAAATCTCTAGACATATCTTGTGCCAGACAGAAATCTGTAGCCCCAGCAAAATGAACTTGTGTGCTAGGCCACATCACCATTGGCCAAACATAGCAGCTTTGGGCTCAAAATAACCCACAGGAACTTTTTATAGGAACTTGATTTCCAGCTTGGGCTGAACCACGTTTGCCAGCCAGTGTATTTCATCCTTGTGCAGTAGCTTTCACAGTATCCCTAACCTGTGGGAACCTTGAAACTTTGCAATATCTGCAAACATCTCAGGGCTAGGGACTGAAAGGGGAGAGCTGTCTAGAATTTATGGACAGGCTTGGTGAGGAAGGTCCTTCTGAGGGAATGCTATTTTGAAAATTTTGGAACAGACTGATACTTTTTCTTAATGTGTAGATATCAATTTATGGTCATAAGGAACAAGAATATTCAGGGAAATATGTTATCAAGCAAACACATTAGGTTGCCTGATTATGAATACTCTGACAATAATTCTTTATAGCTATTTTAGTGATACTAACTGAACTTCAAGAAAGACAAGTAATTCAGATTAAGCAGAGAAATTTAATAGAGAGGTTAAAGTAAGAAAAAAATGAAACAAATTTCTAGAGCAATGATTGAAGTATATATATAGTATGATATATATGATATATATATAGTATGATGTATATATGTATACTATATATATATATATATATATGGTATGATAATGATAAAAAAAGTCATGGCACGATCATGGGGTGTGCAGCTTGAATAGTTCATCAAAGAGAGTTGTCTAAAGACCAGTGACAAAGTGGAAAAACCAAAGTTTAGTTTGAGGCATGATAACTTGAGCTAGCTATGAGACACCCAATGGATATAAATGTTTGGACATTAAATTCAAGCATAAAAATGTAGGGATCATTACATGCTGATGGCATTAAAAACCATAAAGGATCTTACCTGCTTCAGTATTTTACCCTACAATAAGCTTTCCCTTTGAAACGCTGTGGTTCACATTTGTTTATTTTTCATTTGGCAGTTTGTACTATGTACATGTGTATATGGTATCTCCTATCTGTTTGCTATTCCCATCTATTTATAAATATATTTATAAATAGAAATATGTCATGTTTGTAACAATCACTTCGTCATACCCTGCTTTCTTAATGGTGATCAAACTTAACCAACATTTTGAGTATTCACACCATACTATTTGCTCTAAGAGTTGCTTGGAAATGTGATTCTTTCACAATTATTCATTTAATACATGAGCCAAGTAGGGTGCTAAGTGTTGGCGACAATGATTTTAGGGTACTATGGAGTTCTAAGAACTGCTGGATCTCCAGCAACCTGGTGTCCTGCTTTCTCTTGTGCCCTCATCATTGTTTGAAGTTATACTGCTACAGATTCTGACTGCGCCTTCCTCATTGCTCAGGGTTCTTCCTGCTAGGTTGGTTGTCCACTTCTTTCTTTCTGGCCTACAGAAAAGTTGTTTCTACTTCTTATAACCTTCTCTTTCTGAGTTAAATCAGTCATTGGCCTGCACTAGCACCACCATTTTTCTTTTTATTTCATGTATTTCTACTTAGATCCCATAAAAATCCCAGAGTAGGGCTTAGTCATTGGAATGTGCTCAGTCTCCAAATGTGTCTGGATAGATATAAAATCCTTACTTTACGGTAGTTGGTTTATTTGGCTAGCATCCTTATTAGCCCATTGTTTTGGCAGGAATTCTTTATGGCCCATTGTTTCTGTTTTCTTCTCTAGAATTTTGAGAACCAACATTTTAGTCTGTTTTGAATATCTCTTTCACAGAGCCCCATGACTATCAAGGCTGAGTGTCTGTTTGTGCCTACATATCATCTATAGTAGTTAAGATTATTTCTGCTTAGTCTTCAAAGGCAACACCTTTTGTGGGTCCAGTGCATTCAGATGAAGCAAAAGATAATGTGGTTGGTATTTACAGGTCAGCTTGGGATGTTCTTAACTCTAGCCTAGACCTAAATTCATTTGTACATATGACTTATATTTCTAGCTAGATGGAATTCTTTTTATAAATGACTGAATTTTATGCATTTAATACTATAATTTGCATTTTTATATCCTTGAACATGGTGGCTTGTTTATTGCTTGACTATGAAAATTAATTCAATATTGTAGTACTTATGTCACCAAAGAATTAGAAAACTCCTTTGGAAGACTTTTCCTTGGATGATTAAGAAGGCTCATCTTCAATAATTTTTATTTTACAAATTAATCTCTATAATGCTTCTATATGTTTTTTCATTTTAACACATTCTGTCATAATTATCTGTTTATGTATCTTTTCCTGCAAGAAAGAGAATGTATGAAGAGTTGGATCTAAAATTCATCATCAAATAGTTGCAGCTACCACTGTGCTGGCATTTATAAATTCTTGTTAAATGAGTAGATGAATGAATGAATGGATAAATACCTATATATTCATGTACACATACAGCCTTTATTACTGTAAAACTTTGCATAGTTATTTGAGCTTCACTGTAATGTTCTAATTTATTATATGAATAATAGTACCATGTGACATTTTAAGTTCAGACAATCAGCACTGATATCAAATAGGATTACTTTTAATAACTATGCTTTTATACACTTAACTTTCAAAGACAAATAATGGTTAACTGTAAAAATATTCTGTTCACCAAATGGAACTAATTGTGAAGTATTTTAAACAGCACAGCAATACAAAGTCATACATTTAAATTTCAGCAAGCTGGAGGTCTATTTTTAGAATATATATATATTTTATTTTTATTTCATATTTGTACTACATAATGATTTCATTCATCTATCTCTCTGTTTCCTATTGTCTATCTTTAATTTTGTTCTTTAATTTACTTATATTTTGGGCTTCTCCTATAAGACAAAATGTGATATTTCTGCTTGTGTGTCTTATTTATTTAAAATTATGGTCTTGAGGTGCATCCATTTTCCTTAAAATGACTCAAGTTCATCCTTCCTTATGACAGTGGTAATCAGTTGTGAAGATATACCACATTTTCTTCATCTATTCATCTATTGATGGACAAATAAGTCACTTTAATAATTTATCTATTATGAGTTTTACTGCTATAAACATAGGTATATGTATATCACTGCAAAATGATGTCTTTAACTCTTTTTGGAAGATATCAATCCGAGGAATAGTTGGGTAAAACGGAATTTCTACTTTTACTTTTGTGAGAAATATCTGTACTGATTTCCATAGTGGTTATCCTAGTTTACATTCCCAACAAAAAATGTAGAAGGGCTCCTTTTTCCTTCAGAATTTATTATTTTTTTATTTCATGATGATAGCCATTCTTTCTGAAGTAAGGTGGAATCTCAGTGTTGTTTTAACTTTTTTTCTAATGGTCAGAGATGTTGAACTTTTCTTCATGAATTTATTGACTATTTTTACTTCTTCTGTGAAGTGTCCATTCATTTCAGTTGCCCAGTTTTTGATTGGGTCTTTTATTTTGGGGTTCTAAATGTTTGAGTTATTTACATATCCTAAATATTAGTGCTATATCTGAGGAGTAGCTGGTAATTTTTTTCCCATTCTGTAGATTGTCTCTTCACTCTGTTGATTGTTTCCTTTGCTGTGCAGAAGATTTTTTAATTGGATATAATCCCATTTGTTCATTCTTGGTGTTATTTCTTATGTAATTGGGGTTCTTTTCAGAATATCATTGCCTATGCTTGTGTCTTCAAGAGTTTTACCTATTTTATCTTCCAGCAGCTTGTTTCTGTTTTAATATTTATCATATGTACCTATTAAACTTCTTATGTACTTTCCTCAGAGTTTACTATTTGTTTTTATTATTTGAGGAATTTATAGAATTACTAATGAAAATACAGAATTAAAAAATTGAAAAATTACCACTTTTATATTTATTTACAATTTTTATGAGTTTCTACTATATCTTTTCAATACTATATCTTTTCAATCCATGTGATATTTTACAATGGAAGTGAAAATGTAGATAAACTCGTGCTCACATTATGTGAAGTACAAATATCCACAGAAAAAAACTTACACCTTTAATGATGATGAATAAATAGATGGTGCATTTTTTTTTAAGACTGACAGTTTTTTCACTGATCTTTCTTTTTTCTCTTTTTCCTTTTCAGTACTTCTGAAATCCCTCAGTTCCGGCTGCCATATGATGTAGTGAATTTTGAGATTGAGCTTATGAAGGACCTTGGCATAAAGGTAAACAAAAAACATAACACCTATATAAGTGTTGCTTAGCAACACATGTAACAGTGATTAACAACAAATGGCATGCATTTTACGAAAGAACAATTAAAAGCAACAGCAGGCAGAAGCAGAAAGACGCTTTCTTTTGCTGAGGGCATTTGTCTGTCTACTGTCTGAATGCCACTAGCCTGGAAAAGGGCAATCGATAGTTATCTGGCAAGCCTACATGTGATTAATTGTCTGTAAGAAACAAATTCCTAAATTGCTTTAGGGGTTCGGTGCAGCTAATAGAAGGATTTGGTTTCTTAGATCACATTTCTTCATGCAAGTTGTATGCACCTGGAATAGTAGTATTTCACCATTTGGAACATAATTTCTTACAGAATTTAATTTTATTTATTATATACATAATGTCATTATTGTTCAAATGATAATCCTTTCTCAACATAAGCAGTAAATGAGTGGGATAGAAAGCAGCAACCTAGAACTTTTTATCATTTTGTAAACTATAGTGTTGTTCTTTTAAATATGGATGGAAAGTTGACATATTGTATTTATAGACTATAGGTTTAGATATCTTTATTCTAGTCCACTAAGAAGTCTTATACTCTGGCTCTTCACTTTACCACATTTGTATTTTAGTTGCAAAAATATTAATTTTCCTTATAACACAATAGATAAGTGATGCACTGTGATTTACTAATCTATTATGTAAGTATATGCAGAAGATATTTTAAAAAGTGGTTAACAAGCTACCCTTGACTCATTTTTTTAAGGAAGTAGAAATTAATCAATAAAAGAGGAAAAACTCAAGTCATATTTTATGCTTTTGGACTAATATTTACATTTTTCTTGACAGTGCTTGGCTGATAAGACTGTTATATAAAATTGCTGATCAAAAAGTCCAGTAGAGGCCAAGATATGGAGGGAGAGTGGGGGGACGAGAGGGCCAGGGAATATATCAAGCACTAAGGTGTGTCATGTGCATGTACCAACACCCCACGAGGAAAATAATCATCATGTTCTGCAAACATGCACTAATAAAAAATAAAAATCAAGAGGAAAAAAGCACAATTTTTTAAATGACAGTGCTCAAAATATCTAATTTATGGGTGATTATTTATAAAATTTATTCTTGAAAGTTCTTTAAATGTGTTTCATTTTGAATTTATGTCCTTACATAATTATCATTATATGAGGAAAGGATGATTTATCAAAACTTCAAACTAAAGTACTTGGTATTCATACCAATTAAAGAGATGTCAGAAATTATAGCATTTTAAAATTTCTTACACATAACTGAAAAATTACATTCTATTTCACAGAACTAGATATATTGCACAAATTAGAGCTTATATATTACTTGTATTTGTAGACTGAAGATATAGTAGACAATGTACTGAGTGGGGAAAATATACATTTTAGCTACAGTTATGCATTTTCTAATTTTATAGTTAGAGATTTTGTGAACTAATTAATATCTTTAGCCTTTGTCAATACTTTTAAAAAAATATGCTGCTACCATTTGGGTAAACTATTATTTGTTTTCATCTGCATAGGGTATCTCTGGAAACAAAAATCTGATAGCACAGATTGCCTTGGAAAATTGTGGAAGGAATTTGTCACCATTTTATACATTTGTATTTTAAACCCTGTGAATTTACTACATTATTGAGAAAAAAAATCTATGAAGAGAAACCTCAATTTGTTTTAGGATGTAAAAGGGATAAATTATTCACTTGCTTTTAAAACAATGAATTCAACTCTGAAGAGAGACAGCAATAAGATTCTTTTTCACTTTAGAGACTTGCATCCATTCATAAGATAGTCTTGAAGCTTTTATGACCTTTGACTTTAGCTTTCAGAGGCTGTTTTTAAAGGGGTCTATACTTGTTACCTCTTTTGTCTCATCACTCAGATTCCCCTTCTAATCTACATTCTGTTTGTCCCTCTCAACTAACATTATATTCTTTAGAGTCAACAAATAATTTCCTGACAATAAAATGACATTTTCTCTGGTTTCCTACTGATTCTTGTGCTCCATCCAATGGACAAAATCTGTGGTTTTTATGGTTTAACATTATCTTTCTCATTCTACTTTTCTTTTCTAATAGGTTTGTTTCTTTATTTAACAAATAGTTTTATTTTTGACAAGCAATGTACCAAAGGCTAGAACACTCTAGAACCATCCTTGTTTTAAACTTCAGGCTTTTACCTATAATAGTTTAATAATCAATCATACATATATTATAACATAATCATTTTTTTGTTTCTTAGTTTTTGTTTTGTTTTATTATTTATTTTATTAGTATATGTTTGCAGTTCATGCAGTTTATAGTCATCTTGGGGAGTGGTTACATGTACATACCACAGCTTGTTTCTTTTTTTAATATCTTTCCACTTCTCTCCCTTTCCCTCATGCCTCCTCTAATTCCCCTAGCCCAATTTTCATTCTTGTGGATAATTAAATCCTAGCTCATATTATGGCATATAATGTTTACAATAATTGAGGTTATTAGGTTCCTGTACATGTACATGTTTATTCTACTTGTTTACTCTTCCCCTCCTCATCATCATTCACACTTTTGCCCTTGAATCACCTCCCTATTGCAGGAGATCCATCCTCTTGTCCCCTTCTGTCTATCCTTTATTATTCTCTTTTTTGTACTTTGGCTCACTCAAATGAGAGATATGATATGGTATTTAAGCGTGTGTGCCTGGTATATTTCACTCAACATTATATTTCCCAGGTGCATACATTTTCCTACAAATGTCTCAAATCTGCCATTCTTTATAGAAGAATAGTATTCTATTAGTATGTAGATACCACATTTTCTTTATCCAGTCATCTGTTGATGGGTATACAGACTGTTTCCAGGATTTAGTTGTTATGGATTTTGCTGCTATGAAGTATTGGTACACATATTTGGCTGTAGTATGATGTCTTAAGCTCTTTGGGGAAGATTACTGGGTCATATGGAATTTCTAATTTTAGTTCTTTGCGATATCTCCCTATTGATTTCCATAATGGTTTTACTAGTTTACATTCTAACCAACAGTGAAGAAGGGTACCTTTTTAACTACAGCCTGACTGATTTCTTGATGATTGCCATTCTTTCTAGAATAAGATGGAATTTAGCATTGTTTTAATTTGCATTTCTCCAATGGAAGTAATCATATGTTAAAAACAGAGTTCAATTTATCCACTTTCATATCAACTGTCTCTTTCCTGTTTAATAATTTCAATTTCTTCCATATGTAATATGTGATTAGTTCTTTTTTAATAAGATGAATTTTTCCAGACAAGTGTCACCTGAAAATAATGAGAATGTTGCTTTTTTACATTACATACATATATATCATTTTTTCACAGTTTCAATGTCTGAAAATGTCTACTATGTTAAAAAATGGTAAGACATGGGATAATTTTCTTTGTTCTAAGATAGCATTTTTAGAATATTGAAAAAATTTTCTAGCATTAGATTAATTTTAATAAAGAGTTTAAATTTTAAAAAAATAAAGAAAGGGCATTAAATTTTCAACAGCCCTCTTATATTTGCTTTATCATCTTTTCATTGCTGAGTGTATCAACTTTTCCATCACATTTTATTATTTCTGGATTTGTAGAATAGATATCTTTTATTAGTTTTTAAGAAATTCCTTTTCTGTTCACTTATTGACTTATTTATCCAAGAATATTAGAATTAAAAATATTTTATTTATTTACTTATTTGGTATTGGGGATCGAACTCAGGTCCTTGCACTTGTGCACCAGGTGGTGAAACCACTGAGCTAAATCCCTGGCCTAAAAATATTTTAAAGAATAAATATTTTTAGTGTCCTTATAGTTTCACATCTACAAAGCATTTTTGTTTTGCTTTATTCATCTTTTTTTGTGAATTTAGATTATAAAATTGTGTTAGTTTTATAAAAATAAACTTTCAAGTATTTTGTTTCATATTGTTAGTGTTAATATTGTCTTGAGACTATAGTAAGTTAGTTTTTAGTAAGTTGTATGTTTCTAGCCACAAAGCCATTTTATGAGATAGAATTTTAAATATTTAAAATTATATCTCCTAGGGTTATTCGTATTTTCCTTCTCTTTTGTTCTCATGTCAATTTTGCCAATGTATTTTCTTAGACAAATCTTCTATTTCATTGGGACATTTGCATTTAATAGATTTAAATATGTTATTTTACAGCAGAATAGATATAATCCAACTTTACTTGTGATTATATTAGCTTTCTCATATTTAAACTTACTTTGTACTTTTTCTTGAGTTTAGATAGTAATTTCTCTAGTTAACATATTTCTTAAAAGAATCACTTGTCAAAGTTCTGTTTTCATATTCATTACCACTGAGATCTTTATTAATTTTTCCCCTCCTATCCTATTTTTTACACTCTTGAAGTGTATACTTAACAATTTTCATTTTTATAATTTAAGGTTATTAAATTTTTGAGATACAAATATTTTGTCAGCACCCATGTGTTTTGTTATTTTAATACTGTTATTTTTCTTGAGTAATTACAATTTTGTGGGATAATATTTTTATTTTCTTCTTTACCAATAATACTACTGATAGAATTAAAATTTTTCCTTTTTCACTTAGTAGAATGTACAGGTTTTAAGTTATCAAGTAATACTCTCAGTTGATTTCACATTCAAAAGTCACATCTAGTATAATAAAGTTATATATTCTTTTTTTAAAAAAGAAGACAATTTATTTGAAAGTAGGGAAAAGAGAGAGAGCGAGAGAGAGGAGAAAACAGACATGGCAGAAAGTTTCTTAGTATGAGTAGAGAGTATTCAAAAGTGAATAACTCCAAAGTTATTGATTCTTTAGGAGAAATAGCTTCTCACGTTTGTATAGTATCTCTCAGTTTTATGGTAAAAATACCTATATGGGTCCCTGTTAATTATTTTTTCCCTGTGAATTATTTTTAACTCAAGATAAAAGTTAGTAGAAATTCTCTGACATTTGTATCAGACAATGTTACTAATGATTAGAATAGTTTTTATTTCTTATCCAATTCAGAATTTAGATGGACAAGAATATTTTGTTTTATAGTTTTATAGTATATTTATTTTACAAAGAAAAGAGTACTCTGCATATGGATCTTGCATTTTTCTATACATGTTTAAAATATGTGTATTTACCATTTTCCAAAATATTTGGTGGAAGTCTGTTTACATTAATTTTATTTGCAAACATCATGCATTTTTGTGCTCCAAACTCTAATACAAAAGGTCTAATATGTAGAAATCTCTTTCTTGACAGCTTTTCTTCATCATTGTATTTTTCACTATGATTTGAAACAATTCCCATTACCATAGTATAGCATTGGAAAATATATAAAATCAGTTTATACCTTGACTAGAAGGAGAGAACTGTTCATTAATAGCTGATAAAATAATTTTACCTAAGAAAGCTAATTATTATTTTTAAAATTCTTCTATTTTATTTTCTATCTTAGTGGTTCTGGAAATACTTAGTCTCTTTAACCAAATTTTCTATCAGAAAAATATAAAGAACATGTGTATTGTTACATTTAAAAAAAAATGGATATCACACACTTCATTTGAAGAGTTCTGCTCCAAATAAATGTAAATCTTTATCCTGTGTAATAAATGTTGTTACAGATGTGAATACATATTATGGATATAAAAATACTTTTTTATCAAACCCTGAAGTGCTTATTATGTGGAACTTGGCTTTGGCTTTGGGCATATGACATGTAGAACTTTTGTCATATGATATTTAGGACTTCTGTTGTACCAAAGTAACAAATAACTGACCTTGAAGTGGGGTGATTTTTTATTCTGAATTTATATAGAAAATATCTTTTTGTATGTTACTAAAGTCACTAGAGGAGGGCAGAGTATATACTGTAATCCATAGCTAAAAAAATCGCTGTGGAAAATATTATATATATAAAAGTACAGCGCGGAAGGAACAAAAATACAAACAAAATGTCCACTGTGTGATTTTTTTGTAGTGCTAGATCTATTTGACAAATAATGTTGAGATTTTATAAAATACCAGCTACCAGGAATATTTTTGGTTTCAGTAATTGTCTTAAAATATTAGGATAGTTAAATTTTGCACATCTCAGTTAAATTTCCCAATCAGAATGTAAGCCAGGCTTATACTTTTGTCAAGGTTATACTTTCTTCCATTTCTTTCTGAGAGAGAGGTATTTATTCTATGGGAAACATTCAGGTCTTCAGACTTTTAGGAAAGAAATTTGAATAGATTTCCAGTGACAGAGAGGAGTCCAGTGCCTGCCACTCCATTGAATGTTGTTATTGCTCTGTTCTCATTTCTACTAGGAACTGCTGCCAAGTGATGAATATCATCTGTGTCTTCCTCAAGTTTTCTACACAATTAAATGAAGTCTCCTTATTCTTATTTTAGTAGATTAACACAGAATGTCATGATAATTCCCATACATCTATACACAAAAGGAAAAGTCTCCATTTTTCGTTCCCCAGTTTCCTACTAAGGTGAAATTAACTGTAGAAATACAAAATGTCTACATCTTTCCGGCATACTTATAGTTATTCACTCTAATGTGGCAGAAGGATTGGGATGTCTTTGTTTCCACTTGATAAGTTGTAAAACACCATTACAGTTCTAAACTAAACTTCTATTACAGACACATGTGCATACACACACACACACACACACACACACACACACACATCATTTCAGAAAGGATAGAAAGTCTGTTTTGAAATGTATTGCTAAGGCAGTAGATGACTGCTCTACTTTGAAAATTTCATTCTTATTCAGTTTGCTAACATTTTATTTAGAATATTTTAACCTGGTTTTTCTTTTATATACATATATACATATATATATATATTTGTATTAAGATTATTAAAATAAGTGACAGAATTATTCATTTTTCTTTTTAATAAAGTAAAAATCTGTTCATTAAAAATTAAGTTTATAATTCTAAAACATTATCATGTGATACTTTTAAAGGAATCTAATTCTACTAAATGTAATAGTAATATTCACTATTAGCTTATACATGTTTAATTAATGTTACAGTTTATACAATGCCATTTGATGTGTTCAGATTTCTGAATATTAGTTATTAATCTCACCTGTATTATAAACTTCCATCACTTAGTCTTTCTGGTATATAACAATAGAATTAGTTTATTTTAGGAAGACAAAAAATGGTCTTCTGTGATTTAGTCTCCTCTCCCATACTTCTCTGTCCATCCCTCAGTTTGTACTTTCTGCTCCAGAAACAACTACATTGCCAGCCTCTCAGAGACAAGATGCTGCCTGGGTCTTTGGTGCCAGCCTGGAGTTGTGAGGATTCAAGAAGTCAACATATGCAGTAGATGAAGTTCTGTGCTTAGTAAATACTCTACAAATGCTAACTGCTGTCAGTGGCTCACTGGTGAAAGCTTTTGTCTGTATGACTCCAATTAGACCATATATTTTAGAAACATATACCTTCAGAACTCAAAGAATGTACCAGGCATTGTGCATTTTTCTTTGTGATGGGGAATGCAAGATGCAGATATTTACTTGAGAGAGGATATATCAGCTCACACCTGACAACTGGCTCTCTAAACTTCACATGCCAGCTAGTCACTAATTGTAGGGTTCATGTGTCTTAAAATCCCCACCATACTCATTTCTTCTTGCTCATGCTGACCAGTCTGCCTGACATGGTTGATATAATGGATCACACTGAAGTTCTGTGGAAAGTCCAGATTGCTTCAAATTATATGTATCATTTCTGAAGTTGACATAACTCCCAGGCAAACTATAAATGAGTATGCTTATCTCTCCTCCCTGAGTGTGTACTGCTTTTTATTTATTAATTGCAATAGCAAAAGTATGCATTTACCAAATCTGTGGCCACATGTAGTATCACCTTGGCCTTATAAGTCTGCCTCAGCAATAGTACTATATCTGTCCCAGAAAATGCAATTTCAGGTTACTCTTTAAGTAAGCCTGCAGTTTCCATTCACCCTCTAGGAACTATCTGATCCTAGCAAGGGCCAAACCGGTGCATTAAACGGATATTTGACAGGGACCACTACCTACTTTCCCCATCTCACCTGTACTCTGGGTAATGTATGTTGTTTCATTTACTCTCTCAAAACATCAAGATGTTTTCATGTAGCTTTCCCAAATATGAGAGCTATTATAACTCTTACTACATACACCAGAGATTTAACATGGGGACTACTTCAACTGACAGCCTTATCAATTTCAGTTATGGCCTTGGAGATGAGGAGAATGTTCACTGACAGGGTCAACAGTTTCAAAGGACCAACTGTGAACTGAACCAGAATTTAGTCAGGCTCCACTATTTACCTCTTGCATAGGCCTCCACTCTTGTGTCTCCAAGATTTGATGTCAATGAAGAACCTAGCTCCAATATTCCTTGAAATGCATGGTTGTTCTGCTCTCCCCTGTGCACAGCTGCCTGGGTACATGACCATTACTCTCGGTGGGGAATAAAATTTATATTTACTTGCCATGATATTTTAGAGTCCTTTCTCCTAGGAACCTGGCTTCTTTTAGTACAAAAGGTGCCAGATCTAAAAATTGCCTCTAGTCTGAAAAAAAAAGTGTCTAAGTATTTTGACTTTTAATGGAGTGACTAACCTCTGCTTCTTGACTTTATTCATCTTCCCTGGACAATAACCCCATGCGAGTCCTATCTATTCTTGTTAAAGGTCCTGTGGAAATCCACTTCCTATCTCTATTCTCATCTTTATGATCTTGACTAGAATGAATCTCTTTGTTTTCTGAACTCCCATGTACATATGTCAATCACATTGTTTTGTTTTACAGTTATGGTGTGTAGGTATTCTGCCCCTTCTTAACTAGAGGCAAGGACTGTGTCTCACTTGTCATTTTATTGTTTCAAGTGCTTCACATAGCGCTTTGAGCATATTTAGTAAGCTACAAAAGTTTACTGACTTGAGTTTAATTTTCTTTTGACTTTTTTCTGTATTTACCCCTAATATAAAACATGTTAGTATTCTATTTATACGCACTTTCTTTATGTAAGCCTGTATGCTAAAAGATAAGAATATCCACGTACTGTGTATGGACTTTTTATAGATAGATTTTTTGACTAAATTTATTTTCAGTGTTTTAGTTTTGCTTATGTTCAGTGTTTTAGTTTTAATTAACTAAATGCCAAAATATTATTGTTCAACCTGTTTAATGTTGTTTTCTTAGATAAATTGTGGTAACAGCCTTTCAGTGCATGAAATGACTCTCAGTACTTTGAAAGAAGATGGTTACAAAGCTGCTTTCATTGGAATAGGTGAGTAGCTGACTTCCAAATATGTTTATTTATAATATATTTTTAATATTTGACAAAATCTCTCCAAAATTATTACCTTCAGACATTTTTATTTGCATTTTACTTAGTACACGTTTGCTGAATATAATGTTTACATTCTTTATAAGGAGTTGGTACAGGTACATAATACATATTAATTACATGTTTTTCATCACCCTTCCCTTCCCCCTCTATCCATCCTTTGCTCCCATTCCCACTTGAGAAAGATCTCTTTCTCTTCTGTTATCTTTTATTTTGCTCTTTATTTATAGTTTGGGTTTCTCATATAAGAGAAATCATGCAATATTTAACCTTGTGTGTCTGATTTATGTCATTTAACATTATTGTATGAAGGTACATCAATTTTCCTAAAAATGACTAAAATTTATCCCTTTTATGGCAGAGTAGTGCTCCATTGCATGTAAGTAGCACATTTCCATTATCTTTTCATCTGTTGATAGACATATAGCTTGCTTTCAAGATTCAGCAATTATGAATGGTGCTGCTATAAAAATTGGTATGAATGTATCACTGAAATATGATGTCTTTAAATCTTTCAGGAGGATACCTAGAGGGGAACAGCTGGGTCAAATAGAATTCTACTTTTAGTTTTTTCAGAAATCTCCATACTTATTTCCACAGTGGTTGCAGCAGCTTACATTCCTACCAACAATGTAGAAAGGTTCCTTTTGCTTCTCAGCATTTCCAGCACTTGTTATTATTTGATTTCTTGGTGACAGGCATTCTTTTGGGGGTAAAAGGAAATCTCAGTGTTGTTTTAATTTGCATTTCTTTAATGGCCAGAGATGTTGAACATTTCTCCATGTATTTATTGGCCATTTATTCTTATTTTGTGAAGTGTCTATTCATTTCACTTGCCCATTTTCTGATTGGGAGTTTTACTGGGGGAGTGTCTATTTTTTTTTTTTTTGAGCTCCTTACAAGTCTAGAGACTAGTGCTTTGCCTGAAGAATAGCTGACAATTATTTTCCCATTCTGAATGTTGTATTTTCATTCTGTTGCTTGATTCTTTTGCCATGCAAAAGCTTTCTAATTTGATATGATCCCATTGGTTGAATCTTGGTGCTATTTCCTGTGTAAGTGGGATTGGGTTCAGAATGTCCTTGCCTACTTCTGTGTCTTCAAGAGTTTTATCTACTTTATCTTCCAGCAAATTAAGTATTTTCTATTTTAATGTTTTACTTCTTTGGTCTATTTTGATTTTAGTTTATTATATGGTAAGAGATACAGATCTAGATTCAATCTGCATGTGGATAGCCAGTTTTCCCAGCACCATTTATTAAAGAGTCTCTTTCCTCCAGTGTATGGTGTTGGCCGCTTTGTTAAACAGAAAAATAATTAAATTTGCTTGGGTTTGTTTCTGAATTCTCTGTTCTGTTCCACTGATCCTCATGTCTCTTTTTCTGTGGCACTATCCTGCTGTTTTAAACACTGTAACTATGTAACACAGCTACATGTCGGGGATTGTGATGCCTCCTGTTTTACTCATGTTAACCAGTATTGCTTTTGCTATTCTGGGTCTCTTCTGGTTCCACATGACATGTATTTTTTAATAATGGAAGTTTTATTTGTCCAGGTAAATACAAACATTAATGATTGGCCAAATAACTAAATTTTAGTTATATAACCATTTGGGCTGTGTCACCTTCATTATGACTAGACTTCAGCAAGGCAGTCTTTTATCTTCCCATTCTCTCAGCACGCCACTGTCACAGCAGGCCATCTCTGGGAAGTAAATTGTTTTCACATCATCCCATGGAAGCTCAGAATCTGTCTAGATGCTTTGTCTTTTTATGATAATACAATTATTAAATTGATAATGCACATCAGAGTTAGCTCTTTTTCTATTCATTTTTTGAAATTCCCCTCAAATTTGGGAAGTTTTTCAGTTTTTGTTTTGGTTTGGTATTTACTTGATCAGATACATGCTTAGTAATTTTTCTGAAAGTCTCAGAGATATATATAGCCATTGAACCGTTTAATGTATACTAGGTTTGTGTACTTTACTTAAATATCCTATGTATGTTGAGTTTTCTAATCTTTTTTCTTCTACTTATCATTTATTGGGAAAATGGAGAGAACAACTAGTATAATTTAATCTCTATCTTAAACTTTGTACTTATTTTCTCAAATGATTGTACTCTGGACAATGGAATGTGAAAAACTGAAACTCAATACAACAAGTTCATCTTCAAGTCTTTCAGCTTTTCTCTTTTGCAGTTCACGCTTGGTACATGTGAATATTTAAATAATAAATCTACATGGAGATAAAATCTTTCCCATATTTTTAAATTATCACACATTGGAAAGCATTTATTTTGGAGCTATCTTCTTACTTTGCATATCTATAGCTATATCATCACTAGTGCTTCTTTGTCAATTAGATATTTGTTACCAAAATGCTGCATACTATATTATTAGACAATTGGTACCAGTTCTAAGGGAAGCTCTGCATTAACCTTTTTAGATGAAAACTTAGGAAGAAGTCTAGGTGTGGTGGGACAAATCTCTTAATACCAGCAGTCTGGGAGGTTGAGGTAGAAGTTTGCAAATTTGAGCTCAGCTTCTATAATTTATTGACTTAGTGAGACACTGTCTAAAATAAAAATAAAAACATCTGGGAATATAGCTTAGTGTGAAGGCCTTAGATTCAATTCCCAGTACCACAAAAGAAAAAACTAAAGATAGAAATTTGTACTAGCTCCTAAATTTTGTATTCAATATCATTCCTTTCAGAGCCTTGTGATTGCATGAATATTTGCTACATTATTTTTATTTAAGCTCAATGATCATTGTGTACATCAAGAAAAAGAAAATGTTCTGACGTAGTACCTAGGTTTCATCTTTAGAGGTTCTATACCAAACTTTGGTCTTACTTTTCAGTATTTCTTTTGTACTGAGAATTAAATGTAAAGAAACACAGCAAGTATTTATTCTGTGAATACCAACAGTACTCAATTTGAAAGTTCCTGTTTCTTCCAACAAGCATATATTAAAGAAAATGAAAAAATTAGCTAGATATTAAGTCTGGAGTCAACATATAACTATTTAAGATTCATCACTGAGCTTTCCTACAGCAGTTATACATAAAATATATGTTTCCACTACTAGATAATATTGGCTAGTACTACTACATAGCATCTCTATGGTCCATGTCTATAAAAAAAATGTCTGAACTGAAGAAATGGGGCCAAATCAATAACTAATGTATTTAAAACACTCCAAATTAACTGCATAAGAAGAAAACTATCACAAAAATTGGAGAAACTAAATGGTTTATAATTGTGAGTGATTCTAATGGTAAGAAATAACTTCTATCTGAAAGAATAACCTTTGGGAATTTTATTTTATCTAATTCTATTAAACTCCTTTACATTATTTTTTTTAAATTCTGTGCCCATTTCATTACAGTGGTCTCTATTTGACTCTGCAATGTGTGTGTACAATTTTGAAAATGTAGATTCCTTTCATATTTATGTTGTTGTGTATTTTCATGCTGAGAAAGGAATCTTTTGACATTTTGGTGTAGTGATGTGAGGAATGCAGTTGTATTCCATTTCAATATTTTGTACAAAATATATAGAAGAAAGTTTCATCCTGTCAAAAAGAAAGGTTCTGTTTGTAGAAGACAAGTATCCCTATTCTCTAGAAAATGTTTATTTGACATTCTTGATTGTCAATTTGGGAATTTATGACCTTTCTATTACCATATAATGGTTAGACAGTCTCAGAACCTTACATGCTTCTGTTCATTAACCTTGCTACTATATCCTAATTAAACTTCACTCACATGTTATCTACCCCTTTTCACTGAGTTTTGAAGAATAAATGATAGAATAGGAATTTTGTATTATTTAGGATATAGATTTTCCTTCTTTTTTAACTTTTAAAAAATTTTATTTTATGCACTGATTTGCAATTCATGCAGTTTTCAGTCATGTTGGGGAGTGTGTACATGTACATAAGACAATTATTTCTTATTAATCCCCTTCCATTTCTCTCCCTCTTCCCTCCTTCCTCCTCTAATTCCCCTATCCTGATTTTCATTCTTGGTGATATTTTGAATCTTAGCTCATGTTATGGAATATAATGTATACATTCATTGAGGGGGCTAGGCTGAAACAATATGCATTATGCATTTAGTTCTGTGTCATGTTACAGTGTGAGCCATCTTCAATACCTGGCTTACATCCTTGATCAATTCTTGATCTCTACATTTATGCTTAGAGAAGTGAGAAAGAGAGGGGCAGCTCCATTTCTCATTAAGTTATGAAGCAGAAAATATACACATTGTGTCTGCTTTTATCTCATTGCCTACAACCTGACCATATAACATAAATTGCAACAGAAGAAGCTAGGAAATACAGCTGTTAGCAGAGTGGACAAATTCCCCATTAAACTCCTTCTATTATAGAGAAGGAGAATAGATACAGAAAAAGGGAGTCACATAAAATTTTCTGCTATAGAAACCATTGGCATTTGACATATGAGACTATTAAAGCACTTAAGAAAGAAAATACTCATAAGACTTAGTGCTTCTATGTTGGTTGTATAGACAGCTTAGTGAAAATGGAGATGAATTTTCTTCCTGCAGTTGAGAATATCATACTTATAGATCTCCTGTATTTGTAACAACCCTTACCTTACCTTATTTTTTTCTAAATAAAATACTTTTTATTTTATATGACTTAATATAGATAATTCAGTAAACACATTGTCTTCATGTAAATAAATATCTTATGTCTTATCATTTTAAATACTGTGTGTGATATTGGTGGGGAGAATTCACGTTTAGATCTTTCCACCTAACTATTGCAAGCTGAATTCACTAAGGAATTTATCTCACTGAATGTGTACCATTGTGATTCTTAAAGAGTTGAATCTCTTTACTCATGAGATGTTTAGTTTTTTTCCTAAATGAGCTGTAGGCTATGTTTTCCTTTCAATATTAGACTCAGTTG